AGCGAGTTGGCACAATAGGGGGCACAGGTGGCGCATCTGCCAGTCGTCTCAGTCAGTCGACACGTGGCACCTGCGGGGTCTGCCCCGTGACCTTCTGACATCCGCCCTTCGGCACAGCGACACGTGACCTCAAAGTGCACTTAGCCTGGCACAAGCGCAGTGGTGACGTCACCGCTACTGAGTAGCAATTGGCGGTTGTTGTTGTTGATCCAAGCCTCAAATTAATACCTGATAATGGGGATGCCGATAGCCAATATTATGACGATGATGATGTCGACGATTTTGGCGATGATGATGTTGACGATGTTGGCGATGATGATGATGTTAATTGATGTTGGCGATGATGATGATGATGACGATGATGACTTTGATGATGTTAACGATGTTGGCGATGATGATGTTGACGATGTTGGCGATGATGATGTTGACGATGTTGGCGATGATGATGTTGACGATGTTGGCGATGATGATGTTGACGATGTTGGCGATGATGATGTTGACGATGTTGGCGATGATGATGTTGACGATGTTGGCGATGATGATGATGTTAATTGATGTTGGCGATGATGATGATGATGATGACGATGATGACTTTGATGATGTTAACGATGTTGGCGATGATGATGTTGACGATGTTGGCGATGATGATGTTGACGATGTTGGCGATGATGATGTTGACGATGTTGGCGATGATGATGTTGACGATGTTGGCGATGATGATGTTGACGATGTTGGCGATGATGATGTTGACGATGTTGGCGATGATGATGTTGACGATGTTGGCGATGATGATGTTGACGATGTTGGCGATGATGATGTTGACGATGTTGGCGATGATGAAGTTGACGATGTTGGCGATGATGAAGTTGACGATGTTGGCGATGGTGATGTTGACGATGTTGGCGATGATGATGTTGACGATGTTGGCGATGATGAAGTTGACGATGTTGGCGATGGTGGCACGCTCCCTCCACCTCGCCAGTTGAACCCCGTGCTCAGCCCTCTGGGTTTTGTTGTTGTTGTGATGTGATTGATGTTGTTGTGAAGTGATTGATGTTGTTGTGATGCTGCGTCCGACGTTCTTCTTCGTGCCAAGTCGAGGCGCATGGAATGCAACGTCTCCGTCTGTTTTTTGTTCCATTCCCCGATCCGAGCAGCAGCAGCAGCAGCATCACTGCCCTCACAGGGACAACTCAGAAAACTGGGATCGATGACCGTCCGCACGTCGTGATGCTCATCACAATCATCACGGCCTTTACCCTTAGCCATGATCATTCCACTGCTGGACGAAGGCATCCTCCCAAGCCAACGCCACAATCTAACGATTCAAGCTAGCCGCCTCCACGTCTCATCGCTCCATCTCTCCTCCGTGGACGTGCCCTTGGCCGTTTGCGCGTGCGTTGAACTTCCTTCGCGCCGTACGCAGCGGCTCACTACGCAGAGCTCGAGACAAAGAGCCACCGTGTAGCCTTGAACAGACGGCGTGCGCAAGTGCTGTTAGCGAGCGCCGATGACACGCAAGATAAAGGTTCCCCATACAGGCCAGACAGACGGTTTGGGCAAGTGCTGAGAGTGAGTACTGACGAAGGCCGGGAGAGATGTGTGCCCAACACACAGCATTGCCCGGCCGCCTTTGTCTCCCCAGTGACCACCCAGTGCCGCAGATTCTGATCCGAGGCTGAGTTGACCGAGCGGGAATGTCCATCGCTTCAGATATGCGCCACTCGAATCAAACTCGGGGGTCGCCGGGTTCGTAGCTCAGCGCGCTAACCGCTGCGCCATAAAGACAAAGATCCCCCGTATAGCCTTAACAGACTGTTGGGGCAAGTGCTGTTAGCGAGCACCTATGAAGGCCAGCACGGCACACGAGGGGGTGGGTGGCTAACACCACGCCCGGCCGCCTTTGTCTTCCCACTTGACGATGTTTACACATCGCACCAGGTACTCATTTGAAGCCGAGGTGACCTAGGGGAGGCCCATGACCGGTTCAGATAATCGTCACCGGTGTTTGCCGTGAGCGGGAATCGAACCCGGGTCGCCAGGTTCGTAGCGCAGCGCTACGCCACTGCTGCGCCACTGCTCCCGACACACACACACAGCGACACACACACACAGCGACACACACACAATAAAATGTGTTTACCCTTCAATCGGGCACGCGTGGGAGGGGGGGGGCTCTGCTCTACGTCGGTGCTTTGCTTCGTTCCCAGAGATCGCTCCATATCAGAAACGATGACTTGGCTTCCATATTTCGAGTTTTCTAGACGCAATAAATACTGCAAATATGACCAGCGATATACCAAAAAACAATAATACTACGACTACCATCATCATCATCGCTCACGCTGATAATCGTTATGCTGCGGCTGCTGCTGTTGGCGTTGACGTTAATATTAAAGTAAAAACTTGTGTGTGTGTGTCGTACACCCCACCTCCACCCGACACACAGCCATAGAATTGTATCGGCAATTGTAAAAATGTGTGCGGATCTCTCTGCAAACACTACCGTTGCTTCTTCTTGGTTCTTTCGGTAAAGTAACGTTGAATGGAAATAATAAAATAAAAAAATAAAACATAATAATTTTATTATGTTTTATTTTTATTGCTGCTGCTGCCTGCCGCTGCTACCGTGTTGTTTGTGTTGTGTTTGTTGTTGTTGTTCCTGGACATCTGTGAAAAATAACTTCACAGCTCATCGGATTCCTCCAGTGTTTATAAAAATTCTGAATATGATTCTGTGGCTGAGGCGGTAATCATTTGGGCGCGTTTGTTCGTCACGTGACAACTTATATGACAGGGTTCTTCAAATTTTTTTTAACACTTCTGAGAATTTGCAACAATGCGACATGAAATGTGACTCCGGGCTCTGGAAACCACATGGAGAAGATTCCAGGCCACGCGTTGACAACGATGGCGAACAAGTGGGAGACTCGTTCACTTTTTGAGGCTATTAACATTACATTTGTTATCACGTCACAGTGTATTATTATTTTTATTATCCGTTATTTTTGCATAAAAAAACGATAGTCCCATGTGAGTGTTAACATTTTTTTGAAACACCCTGTAATTGTACGTGTCGGGTGGTGGAGGGATGTACAACACACACATTTAGTTCAGGGGATCTGACCCCCGAACAGAAATAAGTTACGAATTGTTGCTGTTGACACAAAACTGATTTTGCAAACGCAAATTAAATGAGCGCTTTGAACGCAGACTCCAAACTTTGCTTGCAGGGAAGGCGCGCCGGCAGATCTGCCTGCACATGCACGGCCACGTTAGTTAATCCACTGCTGGATGAGGGCCTCACCGCGCAGGTCAGCGCGTGTCGGTGAAGGGCGGGGAGCATAGACGTGGGAGCACAGTGCAGTATAGCACGACTCCACTGCCACACACAGCGGTCGCCACGCAGCAGTCTACGGCACATGTAAGGTGTGGTCGCCCATCCAAACAATAGCCAGGCTTAACTTCGCTTAGCCCAGGGGTGGAGAATGTCCGGCCCGCGGGCCGTGTAAGGCCCGCAAAATAATTTGGTGTGGCCCTGCCAGGGCAACCGCTGGCGGGACTCGAAATTCAAGAAATCTAGGAGCGAACCTGGAAAAGCAGTTGCGAGTAGCAACATCATCAATACCAGCTAACATCACACGTCTCGCCAAAGAGAAGCAGTTCCAGCCATCGCATTAGGGGCGAGTTAATTAAATGTTTGACCAAATATAACGGGCACATTTTTAAGTTGATCATTTTGCATGGCCCGCGAATGATGTTATAAATATCCAAATGGCCCTTGGCAGAACAAAGGTTCCCCACCCCTGGCTTAGCCCATGGAGACCTAGATCATCCACGCTCTCTGCCGCCGTTCCCACTGCTGGCCTAGAGGCCTAGAGCCCCCGTGCGGGGGAATTCCACATTCTCATGGCGGCGGCCAGTCCATCCATCCACATGACGCAGTCACTGCTGACTTCCCACGAGGTGGTACTAAATGTGTCTACCCCGTACACACGGCGGCGACGACGATGATGATGGCAGACCACAGCTTCACCCGCGCTGGATGTAAATAACACTAATACACTGACAGCCCTTTCTCAATCCACTGCTGGATGAAGGCCTCCCTCCCACGCTGTTGTCGCTCACGGGGATTGATGAGCGTACTTCACCGCGCTGGTCAGTGTGCACTGGAGACAGAAGACAGGGTTGGAGGAGTCGTGGGGGGGGAGGGTGTGGGTACCCGGACTGGTTGAGACATCACTCGCCACTGATGTTAGCCGTGGCCGGGTATCGAACCTCTCTGGTCGCCGGCTTAATAGCGCAGCGTGCTAACCGCCGCGTCACCAGCAGCACACTTGGGACTTGCGATCCAGAGAAGCCGCCGGTTCCGATCAGATCTCCCCGGCGTTAATTCTAGATTTGAAGCTTTCGTGACTGCAAGTATTCATATTCTTAGGTTTTTTTATTTTACTTTTATTAATTTTATTTTTTTTACCTACGTGACTTTACCGAAAAAACCTAAGAATATCTCCCCGGCGTGGCAGGTGCGAAGCCCCAAGGGAAGTAGCCCTCGAAAGTGGCCCGGCCCTCTGCCCCAGCCAGCGGTATTTCAATGCGTTACGCCGGTTTGGCCCGACGAGGCGAGGTTCGCGTTGCGGGTGGGGAGAAGTGTGGGTACTCACACCTACCGGGAGACGTCTGGCCAGCGTGCGTGAAGTAGACCCACAAGTACCCTCCTCTGGAGGTGGGGGCGGGGGGGGGAGGCTCTGTCGGCTCGAGCAGGCAATTGCAGGGGCCGCGCCTTTATTATTGTTTACATTATTATTAATATCACTTTATAGATGTTTTTCTTCCCCCCCACCCCACCCATCTCCCCCCCAACCCTGAAAAAAAATTGAATATTTTTTTAGCGTAAAAAAACACACACACACACACAAAAACCCACAAATTTAAATTAAAACACGAAAACGTCCCGCACGCGGACACGCCACGAGCCACGATCAGCTCCCCCCGCCGGGCAGATCACGTGGTCAACGCCGGCACTCGCCTCGACTCCTCCGCCTCCACGATGGCAACGACCGTCGCCAGCTCGTCGCCCGAATCCCCACGGCCCATCCCGTGCTCATCATCATCAACAATACCATCATCACCATCGTCACCCTCGTCGTCACCGTCGTCGTAGCTATCGTCGTCACGGCGGCTGTCGCTAAGGCAGTGGCGACGGCTGAGCGATGCGGTGGCGGCGGTGGCGGTGACGGCGTTTGGGCCACCGGCCGCGGCCACCGTGGCGGCTCCTCCGCTCGGCGTCACCGTCGGCGCCGTCGCGGGCCCCTCCGGAGCTTTCGGGGCCCCTCCGTTGACGAGCGGCTGCTGCTGCTGCTGCTGGTGCCTCTCGCCCCTCGGCCCCAGCGACAGCGACGAGGTGGAGCACGGTGAGCGATCGGCGGCGGCGGCGGCGACGACCGAGGGCGCCGCGTCCGTCGTCTCTTGATCGGGCTCGAAGCCGCTGAGCCGTCGGCGTCGAGCCGCGTCGCCCCCGAGGCCGGAGCCGCGTCCGACGCCGCCACCGCCGGAACTGCGAGAGCCGCGGGAGCCGCGGGAGCCGGCCCAGCGGCCGCAGAGCCGCCGGCACAGCGACTTGCGGCAGAAGATGTATATCCAGGGGTCGAGGATGGGCGTGATGGTGTACATGCGCAGGCCCAGCAGGTCGAGGGCCTCGTTGGCCGGAGCGCCGCTCGCGTTGATGAAGGCGCGGATCTGGTAGGAGGCGGGACGGAGACAGACGCGAAATGTGGTGAGCTGGACGACAACAACAACAAGAACACGAGTAATAATTGTACACATCCCATCAGTAACACGGACTTTCCTGCGGAGTGAGTCATTTCAAGTCTGGACCAGTTTCGACGCTCCAGTGTCTCATCAGCAGCAGCTGGAGAGTCAGGATTGCTTGGCTCTATCAATGCTGGAGGAAGAGTCGGGATAGTAGTAGGAGGAGTTGGATTAGCAAGAGTAGGAGGAGTAGAAACAGTAAGAAGAGGAGTAGGAAGAGGAAGAAGAGGAGCTACATCATGGGCCCTCCTTTGCCGGCACACAAATATGAGGATAGGGTTTTCCCCTTTTTTCTGGCAACAAAACAGCTGTGTTAAGGTGTTAAAACACCAAACTGAAACCTTTTACAAGGAATCATGTTACTGCATTAACCACAATGCTTGTGGTCAGAATGCAAACAAAAAAACATACTCTGATACAATATGCATTCTCCTTGAAACTGATTGGTCCACACCAGAGACAGCTTTCTTTTGAGCCTCGTCTCAAAGTGGTGTTAGATCAGAGGACGCCAAAAGGCGTTTTGGCGTCCTATGATCTAACACCGTGTAAAAGGTTTCAGTTTGGTGTTGTAACATCATATCCCCTCCCTTTGATGCTGCTAATCCTGCATAATGCACGGGCATAAGTAATACTAATCACATACCTGCATTTCCCATAAATAGGCTAAATTCCTCTTGATATGCAAATTTCTTTGTCAAGGCGCTCTTCCCCCTCCAACCCAGCTTAAATATACGCTGCCAAGCCTGGTGGTGCTCATTCAGACGCTGTCTTTCTGACAGACCTGTTCTTCACCTGAGGATGGCTGCTTGCGTTGTAGCCGAAACTTCGTGAGAATTATGTTTAATTTTTATTATTTTATTATTTCCATTCTACGTGACTTTACCGAAAGAACCAAGAAGAAGATCTTAACACAGCTGTTTTGTTGCCAGACAACGGGGAAAAACCTATTCGGAAGAGTAGGCCAAGAGGAGGGAGGCTCCCTCTCTCTCTCGAGCTCCCTCTGGTGGAGGTTCCTTCCGCCGGCAGTGGCACGAGGAGGGCAACTGCAGGGGCTGCACCTTCACCTCCACTGCAGACAGCAGTGGCCGTGCTCTGACGAGGACGCACGAGCGAAACGAGATTTTTTTTTTGTTTTGCAAAAAGTAAAAACTTTAAAAGTAAAACTTAACAAACAAAAAAATAAGCCAATAAAAAAAAACAAATCTCTCAACCCCGCACGCACGCACGCCTAGAGAAATACCCAGCACTTCCTCTTCTCTCAGCCTCCAAGTGCGGAAATTCCATTTCGCAAACCAGAATAGTGGCTACTTTATTATTATTACGGTGTGCGTGTTACGGGGGGGGGGGGGGGGGGTTAAGGAAGAGTTCCCTGGCAGCCTCCAACACAATGCGAGAGCCCTGGTTTCCTTCCACACATCACCCCCCCCCCAAGCCTTTCAATGAAGGAGGTGGGAGGCGGGGGGCGGGGCTAAGATCCAGGCTGCGACATGGATACTGTGCAGGAGAAATGTCGAAATGTGTGCGAGGTAAGTGAGGTACCCCTCGATGCGGCTGCAAAAACCACACGACGATACACAACGCCAAACAGCACGTGCCTGTTACGTGCGCGTCTGTGAGTCTCTATGCACCTCTATGGGTCTCTTTCAGCAGTCTCTCAGCAGGTGAATTGATCTTTACGTGAGTCTGTGAGTTATATGCAGGTCAGTGGGCATCCATGTGAGTCTGTGAGTCTCTAAGCAGGTCAATGAGTCAATGGGTCTCTATGTGAGTCTCTAAGCAGGTCAGTGGGTCTCCATGTGAGTCTGTGGGTCTATAAGCAGGTCAATGGGTCTCTATGTGAGTCAGTGAGTCTCTAAGCAGGTCAATGGGCCTCTATGTGAGTCTGTGAGTCTCTAAGCAGGTCAGTGGGTCTCCATGTGAGTCTGTGGGTCTCTAAGCAGGTCAGTGGGTCTCCATGTGAGTCTGTGAGTCTCTATGCAGGTCAGTGGGTCTATGTGAGTCAGTGAGTCTCTCAGCAGGTCAATGGGTCTCCATGTGAGTCTGTGGGTCTCTAAGCAGGTCAGTGGGTCTCCATGTGAGTCTGTGGGTCTCTAAGCAGGTCAGTGGGTCTCTATGTGAGTCTGTGAGTCTCTAAGCAGGTCAGTGGGTCTATGTGAGTCAGTGAGTCTCTCAGCAGGTCAATGGGTCTCCATGTGAGTCTGTGGGTCTCTAAGCAGGTCAATGGGTCTCTACGTGATTCTCTAAGCAGGTCAATGGGTCTCTATGTGAGTCAGTGAGTCTCTACGTGAGTCCAAGGGCGTCTCTGTGAGTCCACGAGCCTCTTTGAAATTCATCGGCGACTGTGCCGAGATTCCCAACTCGCACTGCACCGAGGACCCCGGTTCCAACCGTTCATGTGCAGCCTGGAATCCAGATTCGAGCCCAAGATTTTTCAGCAGTCCCGACTCTGCAATTACACCTCCCACAACACCCCCACCCCCCCCTTCCACATCCCTCCCCTCCTCCTGAACCCCGAATCACCCCGGCGCCCCCACAGCTCCGAAGGGATTTCATGGCGGCGCTGACCCCGGTGTCGCTATCGTCGCCTAACGAGCGGAGCGGGCGAGCAAGCGGGACGAGGAGTGAGCGATTGAGCCGGTGACGAGGAGGGAGGAGGAGGAGGGAGGGAGGAGGGAGGGAGAGAGGTAATGGTGCGGAAACTCTTGATGCGACCTCGCGGGAGCGAAGGGCGAATCGGGGAGCTCTCGGGCAAAGATTCGCATCCAGCACCGCCGTGTTTATAGATCTCTTGTTTCTACGCTTCGGTGCCTATTTATTTTGCTTTCTCAAAATAATTGAGCCGGCACAAAATGTAAAAAAGAACTCCATTATTCGTCGCATTATTATTATTGTTGCTACATGGTTTTTTTTTTCTCTTTGCAGTGGGCGCAACCTTGAATACCCTTTTCATCACGGGCAGGCGAGTGTTGCAGATGTAATCAGGAAGAGCGGGGGGGGGGGCTGTGATGGGGGGGGGGGCTGTGATGGGGGGGGAAGGGGGAAGGGGGAGGGGTGGGGGCGGGGGGATTGAGACGCGTGGTGTGCAGGATGGAGGAGCAGGAGGATGGGGTCGGCAACTTGGGAGGTTGGGACTAGGAGGAGGTGATGGGTGGGACGCGTGGTGTGCGGTGCAGAGGAGGAGCAGGTCAGGTCGCCAAGCTCGGCCGCAGAGAGGCCCCCAGTGGGCGACCAAGCAGAGGAGGAGACACGGAGGCGGCGCTGGAAGGACGTGTCAGCATGGACACGCAATGTGAAGCATTCGATGGTCACGTATCGTGTGGAGTCAAAATCGGCTTTGATCAATCATCGTTACATATACATTTTATATATCTAGATAAAACCACGGGTGGATTAGTGGCACAACGACCAGCACACTGCCATGTGGGTCGGTGCATTGACGACACACGTGACTGCACAGTCACGGACCCGCCACCACTGCCACCACCACCACAACAGCCTCCACTACTTCTCGGACCGCATCCGTGAACATAAAGCTGACCTGAAACACGGTAGGACAAACACCTCAGCCGTGGCAGATCACTGTTACAACTCAGTGGGCTCACATGATATCGACTTCTCCAAGACAGAGGTTCTCTGCAAGCCATCTGGCTATCATGAGAGATTCGTTCATGAGGCGATCCACATATACAAACACAGAGACAATTTTAACCGAGAAGATGGATTCTGGCTCAGCAATCATTGGAAGGACGTAATAAACCATTTCGATACACATTAGGGTGTGTAGAATAATACATAGTGTTATATTAAATGTATAAGATATAGGTTGGTTTACAGCAATACAGTATATAATTTAATGTTGGGTTTATCTATGGCAGTATATAGTACGGTATATGCTCGTGTGATATAAGAGAATAAGGTTTAGATGGAAGCATATTATAGAATTTTTACGAGGTAGAATTGTAATGTATTACTTGCTGTTAGTAACTCAGCTTATTATAGAGTATAGTAAGTATACTGATGGTGCGATGCAGTTCATACTTTAGTTTTTTATGTAGTTTATACTTTAGTTTTCTACGTGGTTGTTGAGTAACTGCAGCTACATATCATTAACATTCCTTTCCTTTGTTACTGCTAATCCCTGCACCCCCCCTTGGTTGCTGCTGATCCTGCATAATGCATGGGCATAATATGACTTTGACACCCCCCCGCCCAACGCCTACGCATTTTCCATGAATATGCTAAATTCCTCTTCACATGCACATTCTTTTTGTTAAGGCGCTCTTCAACCCCCAATGCAGCTTATATATAAGCTCCTAGTTTGGTAGTGTCTCATTCTTCACCTGAAGACGGCTGCTTGCGTTGTAGCCGAAACGTCGTGAGAATTGTTTTATTATGTTTTATTTTTTTATTATTTTATTACTTCCCTTCTACGTGACTTTACCGAAAGAAACAAGAAGATGAATCCCTGCAGTCACGAACGCTTTAAATCGAAATTTAAGCCTCCACTACTACCACAGCAACCACCACCATGACCGCCACTACTTCAACCAGCCGCATGAACAGCATCAGCAACAGCAGTATGGAGAGCGGCTCTTAGGGTAGACAAGTAATGGAAAGTTCAGAATCGGTGACATCGACGGAATAAATATGAGCAAGAAAGAGAGAGACAGAGAGAGACAGACACACACAGAGAGACACAGAGAGAGAGACAGAGACAGAGCGAGAGAGACAGAGAGAGACTTAGACTTTTAAACAACTTTTATTGCCGCCAGCAGCAAAAGCACTGGAGGCGATTTCGAAATGAAATACACGAAGTCACCAGCAAACAAATGAAAATAAACGCTACAAATCCACGCGCTGTGGCGCTAAAAGCACCGCGCACAACACGAAAGAAAAGTCACGTGGTGGTCATCGCGCACGCCACGGTG